TTTCCTCTCGATCATCGAGTCTTTGTGACGGGGAAAAGTACGATGGCCTTGCAGACGACAAGGACAGACCTCGGAAGAGCAAAGGGTGTGGTACAGTATCCACCGGACCCGATTACTGAGAAGTGCAGTCGGCGCGACGAACAAGCTCGCGAGAACGAGTTTTATCGCTCCTGCTGCGCGAGTTTCTGCCGTCTTGCAAAGGCTGTGTTCGACATCACACAAAAGCTTATCTTGGAAGAGCAATTCCACTCCGGATTCACCCCAATCAATGCACGCTTGTGTCGTGCGACATTGGCCCTCTGGACAGCCCTGGACGCGTCGAAGATGGAGGAGGAAGGAGCGGAACGGTTGTGGATGAAGGAGTTGGGTATACGAGCAGCTGAGCCATCTTCCAATTGGATCTAGGGCGACGCGTACGATAAGGTCAAGGTGGCCGGGGTTCGGGTTTGGACGTCTTTGGTGTTCCACGCGGTGTGGCAAGGTGAATAGCATTCCACTTTTCCTTTCCTCATGATTTTTCGCATCGAGAGGGTGTTGGCCTAGCTACGAAGCTAAAATGGCGGGTTGATAGGGATAGGTATAGGTTGATTTAGCTAGCCATTAGGGACTTGATGAAGAGACGCGGTGAGAGGTCTAGTAGAGTCCCTGGCTTGGCGGTATTAGCGAGTTAGGTTGGCAAATTCGAGCCATCATGCGTGGTGCGACGGCCAGGTTGACAATCAACTGCCGACGCGAGAACGGACCAGGCTTTGTTGACGGGCTTCGATAAGGCGGTGAGCTTCGGCCCTTGGGCTAACCAATTACGGTGGCCTATGGGGTTCAACTTGGCAGACCTCAGTTGAACCCCTCGGTCTGGTTTCAATCTCAATCCTGCAGACTATAGCTAATCCTTTTTCGTGATCTATGCATATCAGAAACTGTAGCTTGACAGTACTAGAAGATATAGAATTGATAAGTCTCACCGATGCATCAACACAAACTGCCATTTGCAATGAGTTATGTGGCTTCGAATCCCACGCTGGCGGAATATATATTGAAGATCCCTGACCTGATAATTTTAAAAACAAATTTACATCGCAACACTGACATCCTTTCGATTCACGAAATTTGATTAGACCCTCCCCTCTGTCTGCCAGGGCTCAAATGCGAGTTTCCACGTCGCTTGGCAATCCTCATGATGGTCGACGGCGGGCCACGCGAGGACTTGGATGTTGCGGCGATCGGCTTGCGTACGGGCGGCTACGCGTCGCGTCTCGGCGGCGTCTTTTCCCACCACGGCCATTGAAAGGGCATCCACAGCTTAAAATGGGTTTTCGATATAATGATTTCGCATCTTCTTCCCGCATGATGAGACATGTCATCGTCACTTCGTGCCGCGCAACTCTACAGTTGCCCACGGCCAACTCTTTCAACGGCGACGCATCTTGAATCTCCGAGGCGGACCCAGCTCCAGAGGAGACTCTACCCCAATTGCGCCATCAGCCTTTCATTGGACGTATTTTTTGTATGCCACAGGAGAGAGCAACCTTTGGCATCGCACTGGCTTACCACAGATGTTGGATGAGAAATCAACAGGTCAAGTATCGTGCCCCTGGACTCCAAGCCATCGTATGTTTTGGCTGCGAGAAGCAATGCGCTGTCTCCTGCAAAGCTTAGGCTGTTGACGTCGATAGCTTCACATTTCAAGAGAGCCTGGACTGCGAGGTGATCGTCGTAAATCACCGCCAGATGGAGCACAGTGCGACCTTGGCCATCCGTGATGTGGGCTTTGACTCGCGGGTCATTGAGAAGGACCTCCAGGATATCGTACTGTTGATACTCAAGAGCTGTAAAGAGGGGTGGTTGGCTCTTCGGTCCGCTGCTGTTGACATCGATACATTTCCTTTCGAAGAGTTGATTCACAGCGTGCAAGTCTCCCCGAGTAATTGCAAAGAATAGCGCATTCTGGTTAAATTGCCTGCAACAGAGAGTAGCAGATAATCTATCGCGTGGCGGCGAACAGGCTGTCAGAACGAGAGGTCACCAGTCGCACTGAAAGTCAAGTAGGTGTATCTTACCAATGTGAAGGGAGCGGTGCGACATCTCTGAGATTAAGTGGGAGTGTTGGTTCTCATATGAAGTAATGGTGGCGTTGAGAATACTGGTCAGCACAGGATAAGGCTCGATGTCGCAAGCCCGACTGTAGTATTTATAACAGGCGTCATGGTAAGCATATTCCTCGGGCTGCTTTGAGCTGTTCTATGTTTGAGCTGGATGTACTTCGACTGGCTAAAATGTGGGAATGAGTCCCGCGGAATAGGCAGCCAGATCCCAGGAACGAGAGGGTTCCCAGAAACCCCCATGCTCTTCCTGGAGCCCTGAATTTGCTTGAATGATCACTTAATTCTCACATTGCCAACTGACTTCTTCCACCGCATCACCGCAGCACTGGTACCCGGGTGTCTGCTCATTCGCTATAGTCTGCGCACACAATGGATCGACATGTTTGCTGGTGATCTACTAGTAATTTTGAGCCATGGAGATAACTAAACCCATGAGTTAGATGCCTAAAATATATTCTTCAGTGGGATCACATCATACAGCTTAGTAGGGGGAAATTTATCAAGCTACAGGGCGCCCAGAAACTTCTAGCTCGACAACTTCAATGCACCCCAATCCCGGACTCATCTTCTTTGATCGACGCATATACTGCCGCAGTACCTCTAATTATTTGCCATCTCTACGTTTTGGAACCCAGTCAACATCTGTGAGATCAACGAGGATCTTGGCCATCGCGCCACTTGCTGCGGCATCACAGGACGAGGTGTTCGGTGCAGAAATAGGATCAAAGCGAAGGTGCTCAGGCGGGGGCGTGAGAAGCTGAGCAACCTCGCTGGAGCACCTTTTAACGCACAGACCCTGCAGCCAATATTGCAAGATATTACAACGCATTTTCTGTGCGCGAGATGGCATCGAGGCGGACAGGTTGAGCAGGTCAGTCGGCGCTGGTATGATGCCGCGACTCGCAACCATTTCGATGGAAACATTGTGCTGGAATACGCGACCGCGCCAACCCAGAATGAGGATGACCTGCTCCAGCCTACTGTACATCAGCGGGATCAGGATGCCTCATATTATTCCAGTCCTGCCGAAGTCATGCTACCCCAAGGGATCCAGCCTTACGTATCTACTGCGATGCTGCGAGCAAAACAATGTGCCTTGGGATGTCTCACCGGAGCAGCCCGCCATTGTCTCATTTATCGCCAATATTCTGGCAGGAACGTAAGACCTGGAACTGCACCATCTCACTGTCAGCCATGAGGTGAGCGACATTCATTGCACTTTCTGCTTGGCGGAAGATGGAGAGCCGACTGATGAAAATATCATTCTACGATGCCAACGATGCCATGCAATTTCGTATCTATCCTGCATGGAGGCGTGGCTTGAGCAGCGTGACGCCGGCTTTGAGACATCTTGCTGTGTTTGGTAAGTCGACCCGCTTAATTGTCATAGACGAAGGATTCTAACAATATACAGCCGCAGCCAAGGGGCTCTGGACGCCTTCGTATGTCTTGGGCTCCGGACAGCTACGAGCCCCACTAGCACTTCAATGGACGAGGACATAGACAGGACGCATGATTCGCAGCTAGGAGGATCTCTACCAAGCGAGAATAGGTCGGCCCACGCACTAGCACATCACGTTGAGCCTCGGCGATCAGCGAGACTAGCGCGCAATGTCAGCGCCACTCCGCTTCGACGGTCTTCAAGATTGGAGAACAGCCAAGCTTGATGAAATGTGTTAGCTCAAACCGTAGGAATGGGTCTGATGATGAATAACAGATGCTGTATTACCAGAGTACTGAATGACAGGGTCCTGCAATCCGACCTGTAGCAGTCGAGGCTCAGCTATCCCGGCTGCCTCGTGCTGCAAGCGTATTGGATCGGTCGGTTAACCTTTTGAGTTGGAGCGCTGTAGTAGATAAATCAAGATAATTCAACTGAGAATCGCACCAACGATGCATGATACTTACTGTTACATGCCTTTCCGGGATTTTAGCCTATGGAAAAGGTAGAATCTGCCTTTGGGTTTGTTCCAGCCTAGAAGACTGCACCCAAATTTCCCCGATGCATGCGTTGGCCTATGGATGAAACTATTGAATTGTTATTTTGCTTCCAGCCGCTTGATAGAAATCCAACTGTGGCGAGAATCACAAATCACGATACCGCAATTAGATACACCATGGTAATCAAGCGTACTGTTATATGCGTCGGAAGCCTATATTGAAGTCACCACACTATCAGTTGATCGGGTCGTTGGCTTGCCTCTCCTCTGTTGAGTATCACCTGGATGCCGTGCCGGTGGTACAGTCGTGGGCGACTCCCAACGTACTTTCCTCCTTCTTGTTTCTTGTCAAGCCACACGCTGATTTGAGGCAAACTCTTCACAAGGAACACATTGCTATCATGAGATCCGGCAAGGAGGTATGTATACTCAAGAGTTTATTCTGAAAATGATGTCAAGTCGGCCGTCGGCCAAGAAACGATCCACTTCCGACAGTGAACACGTCTGGATCGCAAGTAATCGAGCGCATCGTGCCACTTCGCGAATTCGACGTGCCTAATTAAGGGCTGGCGATATGCAACTATGTAACTTGTAGTAGACGGACGAGTGACGGTAACTGGTTGACAATGAATTGTCTGGAGAAGACTCAATACGGGAGACACTAATAATACTGTAGTGCTCTGCTCGGCTTGAAAGATGTATTATGTAGAACAGCAAAATCACAGGGAGCACATCACTTTTTTGCCACCTCGCAATTTGATATAAGAAAATTATTTTGGGAATGGCCGCTGCAGCTTTTGGGATGGCACTGCTAGATCCTAGGAACGGACAAAGGCTTTTACTTATACCGCCATTGTCTTCGGCTTCACATTGTGGCTACAAATAAACGTCAACCCCCCTCTTAATCAAATTAAAGCCTTGCACTACGACAAGAGGTGTTCCTCAGAGTGAATTCCCAATGGCAGCCATTGCAGACAAATCATTTACTAGATTTGCACACTCGTCCCAAAGTCACCGTGAGTCTTCTATGCGCTATATATTCTTCCTAGCTAATTTGATGTAGCGTTGATATGCGGCGTGCATGAGCAAAGGGAGCGTGACTTCTCCTTTCTGATTCAGCAAGTCGAGGACCATGTCTCAATCTTGGAAAATCATCGCCAACAACTTGCTAGTGAGCTTCATGTTCTGCGAGAATATTCATGGGGCTTGTATCGAGAGTATAAGAGGGTCCTGAGTAAGCTGGAAGAGTTGGGAGCTGAGGATGGTCGATCTCCTTTGGCGGGAGGGATTTCCACTTTGCAGTGAGATCGCAAAGGATTCAAACGAGACACATGGCTTTGAATGTGCGATCTCTTCATTGTGTCTCTTTCTTCCATGAGTCCCCTGTGAGGGCTCGCACATACTGATAGCTGTTTTTCATATCACAAATAACCATATTCTGTTCTTGCTGTTGACGAGGAATAACTTTCACTCTTTTATCGAACTTTTCTGCCTTCTGTGCCCATTTTTGATAGGCCATCAGCATAGTTTTTGGGTATTCCGCCTAGCCGTCGTTCAACCTTACGCTGGAACGCTGTTTGATGGAGGTCAAATTGGTTGACTCGGGAAGGATCTCGAGAGGAATATCCTCTTTGGAAAGTCGTAACTTTCTGATCGGCGGCTCTGATATTGAATAGTTTCGCCGAAGAAGATCATGTTTTGTCCCCCCATATCTCTGGAGAATGTTTGATTTTGAGTTCTTGGTGATACTGCTGAGCAATGATTTCACAAAATAGACAAGAGGAGGCTTCTAGCCATGGCAAACGATTTCACTCTCCCAATCCGGGGCGCGCCAGCTATCCGACGAGATAATAAACTAATGAAACAAGTTTTGTTGGGCGTATCACTTAGGGAGAAATGAATTGCAAAACATTTTATCACCGTTGAGATATCTCAACCAGGGATTTGGTTTAAGCGTTTCGGCTCCAGAAAGACTTATTGCCAGTGAATCTGGGCAAATATTTTCTATTTATTGTGGGCATGGGAGTTCCAATATCATCTGGGTGATCACAAATAGGTAAGCTGATTGCACGGGGCGCAAATATGCGCCCCATAGAGGGGATTCTGTTTTTAAAAGCTTGTCGTTGGTCAAACGCGCTTGAGAGCCGGGCAGCAAACAATACTTGACGGAAGGATGGCTATACTGTGGACCAAGCTCACCCTGCGTGCCAAGAAGTCGGTCAATCATACGCATAGAAAATAGTAGGCTCTCAAGTGTCCTTCTCAGTCACATTTACCAGGGAATATCTTGCTGCTATCTAGAGATAGTACAGTAACACCTCATTTCCCCTCCATCACTGCGAAGTTTTCTCAAGTGCCCCACTTTTCAACACCTTACTATACTGACCGGCTCACTTGATGACACTTCAAAGCCGCGGTGGATATCACTCTGACAGGTCTACCCCTCGAAGCTGCTGCAATACTGTTGGCAAAGGTGGAAATTTTGGACATTGTATCCATGTTCTTCGTCGACGCATACAATGCCCTTGAAAGCATGATGGGATTTTGAAAACTACGGGGGGCTGAGATATTTTATCAATAAATTAAAAAGCCTCGATGACTATATATCTAGTGCGCATGAAATAAAGCCAGCAAACGCATCCTGAAGAGTCAAAAAAAGGACTCATCGCATTGGACATCAACATGCAATGGTATCGTAAATATCTCGCCGGTGAAACTTACCATGCAAAGAAATTCATTTCCTGCTCGAGGGGGAACGATACTCAACGAGCTGGAGCAGCTCCCTCGTCCTCATCAAATTGTTGGGACCGACCTCAATAAAATTGTTGTTGGTTCGGCCAGCAAAGAACCAGTCGTAGAAAGCGAATTCGGATTGGAACAACAGCTTTTCAGAGTCCACCAGAGATGTATGTGTATGTCAGGCGTTCACTCCCCTCAATGTTCATGAATTGTTGAATGCAAATTTAGGACAGGATCCAACTCATATATTTCCTGATCTCAGTCACCGCCTAGTGATAATTACCTTTCATAAGTGCCGGACAGGGACATTTTGGGGTGGTCTCGGTGGGATCAGAAATGCATAATATGCTAAATAGCCATTATATTAGTCGCAAGACATATAAATGCCCACGCCGGCTCATCAAGGTAGCCTTCAGGAATGATTCTTTAGCTAGTGGCCCAACCTTGTAAGTTCGCCACCTTGCAATCCCGTGATTTCACCATGAGCCGAATGGAAGTGCCCGTAGAGCCCAAGAAATGATGAATTCAAACATCTCATGGCATAGCCACAGACCAAACTCGACCCCGAAGCCCTTATTTTCCTCAAAAATGCCCGTTCTTCTTTGGGATATAAGGATATAGTATCTCTTCGAGGACCTGGGGACAGATCCTTGCTTCACTACGCAGCCATGGGCGATTGCGTCGAGCTTATACGATACCTTTTGCTCAATCAACAGGAACAAGCGAACTCCCCTCTCTTGGGCTGCAGAGTGTACATCATTAAATGCCACGAAGCTGCTGTTGATCAATGGCGCAAAGGTGAACTCGCTTGATGATATGTACACGCCTCCATTGGCATGGCTGATATACGCAGGACAATCCGGCGATCAGCACGTGCCTACGAAGGCTTTCTTGATCAGCAAAGGAGCGAAGAACAAGGGTGCTATCCGATGATGGATCCTGACCAAATTGCACAGACTCTAATTTAACAAATGCATTGAACTCCTAAGACCCTGAGTCAGCGGAAGCTTTGGATGTCGTTTGTATGGCGGGATCGCGTGTCTTCTCCTTTATTAGTTACATTAAATTTCGGAATCATGTTCAATTCGCAGATCTGGGAAGCTACCAAGAAATAAATGCGGACTATATCTCTGCTCATCGATATAGCCAACGACAAGAGTGCTTGATAACCAGTCAAGGCCATCTTGATTAGCCTAGCCTGTATTTTTTTGCTTCCTGTGAGATCAGGGGTTGAACATACGATGATTTGAATCGTAATTCGCAGGATCTTGCGTACATGTATCTCATACTGCTACAGGCCTGGATGTCCTACACGAATCTAGTGATCATCAGCCTAACGGGGCTACAAACAAGGAATATTTTACCAAAGAGGACCGCGCGGCTATGAGTGCTACTACACATCAGTTTCATGAGCACTCACTATAACAAGCTAAACCAAGCAATAGAACAAAAGGGGCATGGTGAGCGACCGGATAAAACGGGGCACCCAATAGTGCATTTCTCTGGCAGTCTGGGTTAGTTTGCTTTGCTGAGGCATCAAAATTGCTGAAATAGCTACAAAGTCCCATAATTCCAATTGCTGTCATCTCAATTATTATTGGCCATACAGTCATAGGTGGGCTCAAAGGACCGAGTGAAAGTATACTTGAGACCAAATTACAATAGAACCGTCAAGACAAAAAGAAATTAACGACGATGAGGCCAGAGCCGCAGGTTGAATTTGAATCGGTAAAAACGCTCAATCAGCCCCGCCAAGTGTATGCCATGCTCTTACATGTACTACGGAGGTTCTGAACGATATGAGCCTGCCTCGAGGATTGTGGAGGCCTCTAGCGGAATTTGCTCTGCTTGGCTAATGTGCGTGGTGAATCAACTTTAGTTTGTGTCATGGCTGGCTATGCGTTTGTTTCAAGAAATATAGGGCACGTGCATTGGATTTTTGGCCAGCGCTTGGCTGCTTGTTACTAGACGCTCAAGGCCGGATGTGGACCGCAAGTTCTCGCAAAATATGGAACAAGTGAATCAATCATAGAGCGATTCATTAGACAGCCCTGCAGTTGATTGAGGCTTGTCCAATGCTTCCCCAACATTTCTTGCTTGTGCACCCACCCAGAATTGACTCACCAAACCCCCACGGATGTGAAGATGACAGGAGTGAGCTCTCTTCAATTGAACTTCCCAGAGTCTGCCGATACCACGCACGAGAGCGTCAGCTGCAATATCCAAACTCCAATCTAGTGGTTGAAGCTGCCCCATCAGATCATTTTGAGAGGCTCTTAAGGGATAGAAAAAGCCCCAGGGAACAATGAGACAGACGTCCAGCGAAGCAAAGAAGGAAATCATGTCGTGCTCCATCACTTCCAAATTAAATGTCCTGTCATCGCTTTGACGGTAGTATGAAACCCTTGACTCCTCGTGAAACTTTAGAAAGTTAGCTTTAAGGATCAGTAACTTCAAGATTTAACACCATACCTGTTTGGCATATTGAACGTCGGTCAAGACCTCATGCCAGAAAGAGATGGCTGCAGTATGCCAAAGATGAAGAGTTGCACCCAACTTAGGATCGATCCGTAGCAACTCCTGCTTCATATTTATTCGCAATCTGACTCGGGAAATATTTTCTTCACTGAAGACATCACAGATATGGGCATGACTTGACGATTCTAGTAAATTGGACGATTCATTGGGAGACATAATGGATAGTCTGGTAGAGGGAGGGTATAAGATTGGAAAACAACAACGAGAAATTTGTTACTGTACTGTGACAAAGATAAAAAGACTTTTGTTGGGAGACAAGTCCTTATATATGTTTTTACTGATAGTCATGCGGACAGGAGCCTGCTCCTGGGAACGAGAGGGCTCCCAGAAATCCTCATGCTCTTCCTGGAGCCCTACATTTGATTGGATGACCACCTATCTCGCATTTTAATTGGCCGCCTCTCGCATCGCCATTTTGTATTTCTGGTATGAGGCGTCTGCTACTTTGATGCATTTTCTTGCAACAATGCACCGAAATATTCGCTGGTGATCTATCAAAACCCCTTCCGAGCCACGTCTATAACTTAGCTCCTGAGTCAAATGTCATATATAAATTCCTTAATGAGACGAAGTCTGGCAGTGTAGCATGAGGAAATGTATAAAATTACAGGCCACCCAGAACAATCTAGCTCGGCGAGTTCAGTGCCTACCCCGACTCACTCATCGTTGATCAGCGCATCCATTGTAATAGTATGTTTAGCATTCGCCACGTTTACAATTTGGAACCTAGTCAGCGGTTGTGAAGTCGAAGATAAACTTGGCCATCGGGCTACCTGCTCCATCATCACAGGATGTGGTGCTCGCTGCAACAATAGGATCGCAGCGAAGGTTGCACCAGCATATAAATGATGGCACTCATCCAAAATTTCAGTGGGTTCAGATTCTAGAAATCAAAATCATCTATACAGCAACAAACCACTCATGCCGGAACTAGAGCCATAACTCCCCGAAGCACAACTTTCCCGTCCTTATAAGTCACATTTCCAACCAAGACAACAGAAGCCGGAGCATTACTACAATTGCACCAGCTCCGAACTTTAAGCCCTCTGGTCACTTTGTTCCCCAGACTTCGGCTCCGTTAGGTATGGCGTGGTGTCTCTGAGCGGGGTGCGGTTGATGTAAATGTAGCCTAGAAAGGGAAGTATAGGCCCGAGACCAATTAAAAGAGTCCCAGATATCGAGATAGTGCTCCTGGGAACCAGTGAACTACATTCGGGGAGCCTGTCCGATCCTGGAATCTATCCCTTTCTTCCCAGATTCAGCAGTCCAACGAACAAGGAACACTTGGCGACTGTTCACAATACAATTGCCGACCGAAGACCATGAACCATTCTATCCCCCTCATGGTTAATCTTTGGTGAGTATCCGCAGCTCCACCTCAAGTAGGAGGCATCTTCACCCGACTATCTCTCTAGAACGTCATAATCGACCTCACAAAATGGCTCCGAGACTTCCACCATCCAAGCTGCATCTCATCCGCGACATGATAGAGAGCCAGTCACTTGGCACGTCTGAAATGGCTGAAGAAGCAGAATGCAGCCAGGCCACGATTATAAATATTCGCGCAAACTTGCGGCAATTTGGAAGTGTGCATGCACCCCCAACTCGAATAGGACGGAAACGGACTGTAACGCCACTGATGATCGAAGCCCTCTGCGAACACCTATCTGAAAAGCCCGGTTTATACCTCGATGAGATGGCTGTTTTCCTCTGGGAAGAATTCCGCAGCCTAGTCACAACCTCCAGCATCAGACGAGCCCTTGTTGCCAAAGGTTAATCTAAAAAGAGCACTCGGCAGCAAGCGAGGGAGCGGAATGCCGATTTGCGAGAATGGTATCTGCATAATTTATCGGATTTTCAGTCGTATCAGCTGGTTTACGTAGATGAATCCGGATGTGATAAAAGGGTTGGGTTCAGGCGCACAGGCTGGTCACCACTTGGTGTGTCCCCTATGCAAGTATCACAATTTCACCGCGACAAGCGATATCAGATACTGCGTGCGTACTCCCAGGATGGAATCGTTTTCTCGCGTGTCTTACGCGGGTCCACAGATGCCACCGTGTTCGAGGACTTCATAGCGCAGCTTCTTCAGCACTGCAGAATATGGCCCGAACCTATGGTTATGAACAACGCCTCGTTTCATCACTCAGAGCGGATGACGCAGATGTGTGTGGATGCAGGGGTAAAATTGGTCTATCTGCCACCCTACTCGCCGGACTTGAATCCGATTGAAGAGTTTTTCGCTGAGCTCAAAGCCTTTATTAAACGCAACTGGAGCTATTATGAAGTAGACCCCGATAAAGGCTTTGATGCCTTTCTTGGATGGTGTATTGATGTGGTCGGTGCAAAAATAGAGATTGCTAGAGGTCATTTTCGGCACGCAGGCTTGAAAATCGAAGAAGTCTCAGAAAATTGCTAGGTACAGTACAGTTCAATTGAATGAAGACAAATTTCACACGCGCCTTCACGTTGTAATGACTATTTGTCCTGGGGTCACTCATCAAACCAAGGGTCGTCAAGAACTTGTTTCGCTGACGCTCTTCCAGACGGCTCAAAATGCAATAATCTTCCAACGATTCGTCCCAGCCTCTCTATGTCCTCTCGTGTGAGATCGGGACTCAGCGGGCTATCAAAGTATACTTCTTCCAGCCATTCCTGCAAGTTAGGCCCGGTGCTTTCTGTGGCCATGACGTCCCCTGTGTTCACCGTATTCCATTCATGTTGCCATCTTTCAGGTAGTTCATCAGTTGCCATCTCTCGCATTTGGCCAACAAGGATTGCCGGCGTTATTAAGAATGTGTCGAAAGGTGGCTGGCCCACGAACAGTTCAAAGAGCTGCCAACCTATTAGCTTGGGTTATTATGTATTACTCGAGTATGATTTCACCCACCATGCAGCCCATGCTCCACAAATCAACACGATAATCAATGTTGTTTTGAAATATAACTTCCGGTGCCCGAAGAGATAGAGGTGTATGCAGTGTTTCAGGGGGAGCAGTGTGTAAGAATGACTCTCCGAAGTCGATTATTTTGACATCCTGAGCCAGATTCCTAGAGTGATTCCCGTATGAGGCAGGTTTCACAACATATTCGGGCACGCCGGCTTCCAGGCATTTCCCATCGCGTTTTTGGATATAGCCAACTTCTGGTTTTCCTAGCATCTCAATAAACCTTTCTTCTGTCAAATCGTCTATGTAAGGCATAGCGAAGGCTAAATTGCGGGTGTGCAGATCTATACTAGGTGAGCACTGTCCAAAGTATTTCTAAGAAAGTGATTTACCTCCATGGCCAATCTTTCGTTGGTGCAAACTATCGAGTCCGATCAAACATTGCTTTGCAATGGTTTTGGCGAGCTTGCCAGGAAGTCTCCCATCTGGAAAGTTTGCATCAATTATGTCTGGAACGTTGGGGCCTAGAAGCTCATAAACTAGGCATTTATGAGATCCATTTGGGCCCTTTAGATCGAAGTCATCGAGCATATGCACCGTATGTTTCGGACGAGGATGATGAGATGCAAGCACTTTCAAAGTTTGGAGCTCTCGCGTGTCCCCATTATATTCAGTTTCTGCAATAGAAATTTTGACAGCAACATACGTCTGTTCCCTGTAAACAAGCAGCTTTTCAGTTAGCTAGAACTACCGCGAGTCACACCAGCTTGTACAACCTTTGATCTCTTGCCGCCCAAACTGTCGAGTAGCCTCCCCACCCTAGTTTATGTAACACCTTATACCTTCCAGCTTTCAAGCATTCCCCCAAAGTGACTGGGTGGTAACCGCCTTGTCGATAGCGATGAAGTGGCTCAGCGTCAATGGTAGAAATATAGAGGTGCTGGTCCATCTGGACCCTGTTTGGATGGGTAGACATTGTCCTGGAGGTAATGCGAAGCGGTGAGATGCTCCTCAAGGGGATAGTACGGGTCAAAATTATGCATGGGATAGCCATTAGATAAAACCGCAGTTTTCCGTGCGCATTGTGTTGGGCATTGTAGTTAATCAGTCCAGATTATGTGATCGGATGTCCTACGCGCCCGGGAAAATGATGACGTGGCAACAACCTGCATACAACAGCCAATAACATGGTCTAAAAAAAGCCCAGTAACTTCCCGGCGGCAAATGATTGGTCGCTGGTGCACGACCAAAATATATATCGGGCGCTTATGCATCCTCACAAGATCACCCCACTGATTAGAGCACAATGTCAGATCTAACAAAAACCTCATGCAACATGGCTGTCCAAATGCAGAGTTACACAATCCCAAGAAGAATATATAAACGAACATCCTGCTTGTCTCCTAAGCTGTGTATACGTCTAGAAAAATAACTACTCGTTGCTATTCTCTTGAAACTACGCTTATCTACACGAAACTTGGAGCCCACTAGTTGACTATGTCTCCTATTCCTCGGCATGCTGTCAAGCTCACACAGAGAATCCGAAATCCTACTCTGCGTAATCTCACCCTGAGCCTCATCGAAGAGGCTACTCAGAAGCCTGACCTAGCCCACTTCACTATCGCCATCCTCAAGTAAGCCCACTCTATATATCATGTGCAACAGAAGTTGCTATCTTCCAAGAATCTTACCATTGCAGGAATCCATCGCACACGAGCCATACCGATCTCACTCCGCATGCTACAGCTTTGTTTGCAACGGAGGAACAATTCAAAAATAACAAGGCTCAAACAGCTCACATATACCACGATGAACAGGGACAGTATACTGGTCATATTCTATATCAGGAAAGAGGGAACAAGTCGTCGGATGAATGAAGCATTTAGGTTGATGCTTGGAATACAGTACATGTACTAGTGGCCACGTTACGTTGAGAATAGTATCTATGAGAGTTCGGACCGCCGCCTAGGGTACTGGGGCTTATTTCTGTATCTCCCATTCTGTGTAAATTTGATGCATATAGTATAGTATATATTTACAGGGCCTTCAGATGTATACTGAGAGAAATCCCAGGAAAGCTACACTTAGAAACTTGAGTCACCAACAAGGCATTAACCTCAACTAACCAGCGAAGGCCAACACGACCGAAGAAGAGCTCTATATGGCGCCGGGACTTTGGAGCTTCTTCTAGATCAAATTTAGCAGTCAATATTATGCAATTCTGCCAGCTTTTCTGAACCCGTAGTTACACAGTGTCACCTCACATTGCTGCGGAAACCGTAAACTACTCAGTATTCTGATGGCTATCCCCATAATATTAGTGTAACCCAGCCCTACCTATGGTGGAGAACCGGCCTAAGTCTCTCGAAAACGCTGTAGTAATGGTACGTGGAAATGATGGGTAAAAAGTTCAACGAATTTAGCTACTTTTTTTTCCTGGCTTAAATTATAGTATTACTGTAGCTTCAAAACAACAATTCCAGCTACAGGATGGATCGAAATTAGTTTCACCACTTACACACGGAGAAACTATCTCGAACCCTCTCTTGAAATACACTATACTTATTACAGTCACTCTTCCCCGAACTCCTGTCTTGGTAGTAATGCAATACACGTATAAATAACACCATAAAAATAGCTTCTGTATTAGACCTATATGGTTCTTAAGGTTTCTAGAACGTTGACCCTGCAAATAAGCCAAACACTAGGGTTGTCTGCTCTTCTTGTCTGGAGATGTGGTAGGTATTCGAATCCCACTCCCGTCAACTGCGCACCGCTATACCGAGCGCGGTGTATAGAGATAGTACTATTGGGTAATATTTTTTTTTCTCTTTTGTATCAAGCTTAACCTTAGACGAAGACTACTGATTCATATCCCGATGAACGTGATGTTCGACCATATGCACTTTAGCCTAGAGAACTATGCTTCCACTCTAGGATACTACAGTCGTACACTTGTGTTGTGGGCTCAGCCCTTCCGCCTGACTATTACTCTGAGCATGATATAGAAGATCCGCGCTAACATAAGCCCGAAAGACCTAGACTGCTTCAGCTATCCGAGTAGTACAATAAGATGCTAAGTGACGAGCGTCCAGTAAACTACATCTAATATACGATAGAATAGAAAGTTATAGTGAATAAGGTGCTCTCGCAAGATACTGAAGAGGATATAGTCCTGACTTAGAGTGCTTATTGGCTGAAGACCTTGAAGAGTAAGCTTGAGAGGTTTTTAGAAGGGAGGATCCCTCGCGAGGGTAATTCTGAGGTCAAAATGTGATTTTAATTCATTGATAATGAGCTAGTTAAATTCATACAATCAGAGTATAAGCATAAGTTATACCGTACTTTTGGGTGCCTTAGTAAATAATGGCACGATAAGTTAATGCATACCATCAGGTAGAGTAGCAAATTGGTTCACGACAGTAGTGTCAAAATATGACGTGGCTTGTCAACTGGGTTGCTTGTTATGGGTCTGCACTCCTGTATGACAGTTATACTTAGCACTTGACCGATATTCCTTGTGCGCACACGAGTTATTTTGTTTGTTTTTGCATCACCAAATTGAACGGTGATGTTATGATCTTTGTCAGAAAAAACCACAGCCCAGTCACTACCCACTCCATTGCCTACAATTGTCCCATATTAAACAGAATCCCCGTTAGGATCCAGCTTTGATGCTTCCACTGAAGCAACTTTCAAGGCCTCTAGTCTTCCTAGAGTGTGCTCCTGAGGACTTAAATCAACACCTGTGGATCGACATTTTAATATTTATACCAAATAATGAGTGTGAATGTATGTAATGTACCTTTATAATAGAAGGCCTGTGTGTAAGGTGTTTCGTATTGTATCTCGGATATTGTGCCGCTGTGAGATAGGTATATAGGGATGAAAAAATGAAGTTGGCAAGAAGATGAGAGACAGGATACGACGATGTGAGCCTTTAAATAATATAAATTTCTGCTCGAATAAATCTTATACCATGGTACTATACGAGCAGAACCTAAAGCGATGAATTAAACGGGTGGCTCTAGATCATACCGAAATTGTACTTATGAAGCAATTGTGACGCATGTAGATATCTGAAAAAGCAGAATCCAGAATAAAGTGTTGTTTGGATCTACTATCCAGAAAAGAATCTATACCTCCTGGACCGGTCTCCTAGCGGTTGGCGGTTCCTTCAAAAATGTTGCCTTATCTCGAGGCCTAGACTCTAGTTTGTCGCCACAGAAATTATATATAAGAAGTAATTCAATCTTATAGAATCTGCTTCTAAGGATGAAAGGAGCATTTACTTCAAATTGCGAGATATCTAGTCGCATAACCAAGTAGACCAAGGAGAATGACTACAAACGGCGCACCAACACTTACCAAGCCTTGCTAAGTACAGTCTATCGTGTCTAGGTTCTGGCGTGAATTAGCGCTTTAAGTGTAATTCATCGTGGGCTAGGATTGTCTCAGTCCACTGCAACTGCGGTTACTTCCCTAAACCTCCCAAACCACCACATCTGGTGTTGATGTTATTTTTGTGATCTCTTTCCATAGGTCCTTATCAGTAGAAGCTACTTCAGCCCATACCCTATCTTAATCTGCTCTTTCATGCGCCTTCTTCGCATTAGTAAGTAAGCCAATGCTATGATCTTAGGCTCCATTCCAAAAAGGCAGTACAGTAATACACATATATCCATTGAAGATGGCACTCGATGAGTTGCCGGATTCTTATGGTTGTGACCCAACTTTTGTTTGATCTGTTTGCACGATGGATTCCATCAGTTTCTACAAGAAATTACGGTACTATAACAATGACTCATTGTGGTTACCAGTGAATACAATACAGCCCTACATGGATTAACAGGGGAAGAGCTAAAATTAGATTAGCGTATCTCCACTTAGGGTCCAGGACATAAAAAGTAAGAGTTTAGAGTTAAAACTGATTTCGAATTCTACTGTATCTCAGCCAGAAGTAAGGATTATTCTCAATAGGGAGGGGAGCCCTGTCCAAAATTTCGCGCAGTGACGGCACGAAACATGATGATGAAAAGTGCTAGGTCCATTGACAAGAAAATTGCGCATTTGGTCATTTTGAAATGTCAATCCATTGTAGCTTCCAACTTGCACTGTGCTTTCCTCAATGCTCTGGACCCATTCGTCATTTTGGACATAGTACTCCAAAACGGGATCGTTCTCTGCTGAGTTAAGAACGCACTGCTGATCGGAAATTTGCTAAGTTTTCGGAGAGCCATCGTAAAGCTCAAAAATTGTCACTATAGGAACAGACTCCTTGTTGATATTTCAAGAATCTACCACCAACTCTCGAAACCGGTCACTGGGCCCAAAGAAATGTTTTTTACAAACAACGAAGATCTTCATGCGGGGATTGGCAATGAACCGTTCGCTCAGAGATGCTTGTTCGAGAATCGTGTTGGTGAAACGTGTGGCCTGCGGCTCATTTATGACACCGAAGAAGATTTCCAAAAGTGCCACATATGTCAGACAATAGATAGAAAAATCCGCCGGCAGACAGCCGAGCTCGATCGCTTGAAACGCTGGTTGAGTGGAGAAAGTGCATTTCCTACTTCAAAGGATAAATTCCGCAGATCAGTTCTCCATCTCAATGCTGAAATCGTTCTTTTGCAAAAGGAGCGGAGATATCGAAAGACTTGCTTCTCCAAAAGAGCACGGAAGGTTCAAACAAGACGCAGACACAGTCTTTCAAAATTGTGCTGAATTTGGCTCGCAAGGAGAGTTCCAGTCTTTGTAAGAGTGTCTTAGGAGCCTCCATTTCTATACGGATGCATGGAGTAATTTCACCTGCAGTCTACACATACTCTGGTCATTTTGAAATATCCGTCCAGTCATTTCACCTACGCTATCGTGAGGTGATCACCAAAAGGAGATTTTCGATAGAGGGCCAACCCACTGGCTAGTCTTCCAAAGTTCGTCGCTCGCACAGCTTGGTTACCGCACCCCTCATTACTGGTCTGTCCCTGTCGAGGAGCTCACAGGCCCTGATGATGATCCTGAGAGTTTTCTTCACACCTGTGTGGCCTAGCAACGAAACCGATTGATCTAGCGAGTTTTCTACCAATGGAGGTGATCAATTCAAGAAGTACATCTAGGCTGGTCGAGCCGTGAGTGATGAAACATCTATTTGAAGATGTAAGCGCAGCCCACATTTTCTGATCTTGGCTGTTCTCCGCGCCGGTTGCCCACACGGAGTCATCCATTGAAAATAGTGGCTTGTATCTAGTGTGGGAAATACTGAGCTTGGGATAGAATTCTGTGCTTCACTGAGCCGTCTTTCATCTCAGAGAGAGTTTCGGTACGGGTAGCTGTTGTAGTTCAGAGGAAAGTTGATTATTGTGCTTATTGTTCAGAGGGAAATATGTGGCTATATATACAGAAGAACAAGTTGATTGGAAACAACCTGTTCCTTCGTCTAGACACTTCGGGATTAATTCCGATGTTGCGACTTGATTCCTGATCTGCACCAGCTTCAAATCACAACAGTGATCAAAGAGGCCTCATTACGGATTTGCAGACATTGCATATAGATAATCGCCTCGCTTATTTAGCAAAAAGAAACTCCGTAAACAATCTAGATTACCGCATAGAGCTCAAAGGGCCGTTTGAAATTACTTTTGACATGTTCTTTCCCAGCCCAAGAGTAGGTTGTAGAATATCTCTGACAAAGAGTGGAGCCTTTGGCGTACCAAAATCAAGGGGCAGACTGCATTCAAGTCATCCAAAGCAACTGCGGCGTATTAAGAAGTCGGAGTTTGTGAGACTGAAATTCCATTTTGACGTGGCTCAAGTTCGTACAATAAACCACAGTCTGCTTGCTATTGAGACCAGCAGACCTCGACAGAGAAATGAGTCA